CTTGTGATTGTTGTTTGGGCCGTAAAGACGGGTTGCTGAGGCACAGTCAAGCCTCCGCATCGCGAGCCTGACCGGACCGTCACCGTCGTCATCAAGAGGCCTCGATCGACAGTGAAATGAGCAACAAACTGGATGCCGAGACCGACAAGTGGACAGGTCATGGAGACTCGATGTCATGGGAGGAGTCACAACACAGCAGCAGGTGCTTTGTTCACAGTACACAGTTAATCAGCTGGTCTGCAGCTGCGTACCGCGTAAGTGCAAGCTGCACCAGCAAGGGACCGCCCTGGCCCTTTTTTTTCTTTTTCAATCTGGTAATGAGCTGACATGAGGGGTTTCTGGTTGTCGGGTTGAGCAGTATACCATGGCATGGGGACGAGCCCCGAGGAAAAGATGGGCTAGAACTGGGACAGCCTCGGAAAGTGTACCAGTAGACGACGACTACCTAGTACTCGGTAAAGGATAGTAAGGTAGCAAGTCCAAGGGCCTTCAGTCCGGGTTTTGCAGTTCCACTGTCCAGATTTGCGGGAGGAGTCGTCCCTTCAGACCATGCTCCGACTTCAGAGTGCCTTGCCCATGTTCGCATCCCGGTCGAATCCACTGGCAGAGATTCGACTCGAGAGAGTCGAGTCGTCTTGCGTGAAGGCCCGCTGCCGCATCACCGACAAGGGCACTCGCAACCCCACCGTCCCTGGCCTCAGATTTGCACCTGGTCTTGGGCACTGGCCACTGGCTTCCGAGATCCTTGGCACTCCTCCAGCAGCCCCAATGTGGATTGAGATTTCAGAGAGACTGACGGATATCGGGCCAATCTTGTCCATCATGATGCTCAAACCCGAAAGCCTTCCTGCTGCCGGTCGGACCAAAAGACAGAAAGAAACATTGTGCCTTGGGCTGGGTCCATTGAAACGGCTGAAGCGTCGCCATTCGTAGAAGCACTGCCAAATACCGCGCAGGCAGGCATGCACGGCATGTTGTGCGTCACACCAGATGCCATAAAGAGGTAACGCGAATACCCAATGGTCATGCTGAAGAGAAAAACGGATAAGAAATGATGGGAAAGAATAAGTAAGCATGCGCGGCATGGAGGCGCGTGCCGTTCGGCAGAGTCAAAGTCAAAATAAAATAGAATAAAAAGTGATGCAGATACTCTGTACTCCAGAGTGCCATTGGCAGTGCCATCCATGGATAGGTACGACGCCGGAGACGAGTGGCTTTCCGGCCGTGGGAGATCCTCCCCTCCACCTCGGTCGGTAAGGTATCGTACATACATTGTCCTTTATGCCTTACTGACGAATACCTTAGTTATTCACAGCTGCGGGATACCTACAGTGTGCACTTTCTACCTTACCTGCCTCCAGTCCACCTCGTCAGTGGACCCGGCTGCAGAAGCTGCCTTCCGCCGGCTACTGGGTAGGTACCTCACCTTGCCCGCTCTTTCGTTTGCCCATTTGTTGTGTCTTCGTGCCTGCCGTAGGGCATGTCATTCTCGGGAACGGCAGGACCTGAAGAGAGACATGTGAGGAACCTGGACTCCATGCACTGTAGTGAGCAGGTGTCAGTACCTGCTGCGTACCCGCAGATGCCAAGAGAACGCATTTGCTGTATTGGGGAATTTGTGGAGCCATAGACCCGCTTCACTCTCCCTAGACCCACAGCCGCACCTTAGACCCCGTTCCCCGAAGGCCGTTGCGGTACGTACGGCCTGCCAATCACCAATCACACGGGAAAGTGGGTCCAGAGGTGGACGAGGCACTCGGCCGTTTCCCTCTGCCTCTCTCTCCTCTGGCCCCGACCTCCACGCGCTCGCACTTGTGTGTCGATTTTAACCCACCACCCCCAAACTGAGTCTGCATCCTCTCCCGAAATCTCGTCAACGGTCGTCCCTCCCTCCTTCCCACCGCAATCTGCTTCCCGCAGAGTCTCTTTCTCTCCCCTCTTCTTAAGCCCCTCGCCATCTGTGGCAATACCCTGTCACCCTTTCTCAGGCTCTGTTTGTTCCATCTCCCACCCGCCTTATTTCCAGAGCCATTCCACCATTCGTTCAGCCGTCGGAACAAATCTCATCACAATATCCACAGCCCACCGGCATACTCCACGACCTGGCCACTACGTATACAAAGAACTGGGCTACTTATACTACGTATATTACGTGCAGAGCAGAATACGCATAACGTGCAAACCTGGCGTAGCCATCCATTATTACTGTATGCTCCGTTCCCCTCCTCCCATTCTTGTCTCACCTTTTTGTGTCATTCAAGGCTCCAGCCAGTCACTCAAAGCTGATGGTCTAACAGCTGCTGCTCTGTCTCCAAGATCAAGTCTAATCCCTCTTTCCTCCTCTCTCAACTTGCATCCGCTAGGTATTCCGTGTCAGCGGCAACTCGGGGCTGCCCCGTCAAGCCGACCCATGCTTATCCGGGCATCCTTGGTGTTTACGTCCGTAAGCGCGTGCGTAAAGTTTTAAATTGTGCGGACTGAATAGCCCCCAATGTCACAATATGCCCCCCTCCATCTTCATATATCGCCGCCAGCGACTTGATCTGCATTTGCGCTGGCCTTCCACCGCCCGCTGCCAGGTAGAATTGCTTTTCGACATTCACCGAACACATCAGTCCTTTCCTTTGGATCTTTGCTTCGTCCGCCCCATGGGACATGCGGAGTGAATCCAGATATGCGGTCACAATGCCTGCTCGAAAATAGCTGTACAAGGAGTTGCATTGCCTTCAACTCCATCGACATCTGCAGTGCTGCGTTACCACTTACTTGCGCTGGTCGTATCTGCATACCGGCTGGCATTGTTCTGGGTCTGATCATTTGTGTTTCATCGCAATTGCAACTGTCATAGGTCCGGCTTGCTCTCCGTCTTCCAAATTCAAGAGCCAGCGGACGCGGTCCCGATGTTGATACTCTTTTGCGGCGGAAACTGTTAATTTCTTCAAAGGCCCCCTACACCCCTGTCTGCGTTGATTGCGGCAAGAGAATCGCAGCCCGGAAATTCGCAGAAATTGGCTTCCGAGTCTTTCCCACATCACCATCCCCTGCCTTGTCCTGGCTGCCCTACAAGACAAGTAACTCCATACATACCGTGCACCACCAGCCCGACCCAAGAAACAGAAGTTTGGGGCGCCGCATTCGCACAGCGACGCTCTGTCCATGCGCCCGCTCTGATGTTGCTGGATAGGCTTGAAGCGAGCGAACCCATGAAGGATACCCATCCAGAATGGCTATTTAATCTATGTTAGACTCCATCAGCCTCTCTATTCACGCCATTCACGTCAGGATAGGTAGATCCTGGCCCGAGCACGCTGAACCGCAGCTTGACTGGAAGCATTAGCCGAAAAGAGGCACAGCTACCACTGCAAAATGGGCACAGCAAGAGACCGGAAGGCGGTGCGTTGTCTTCATGGGACAGGACAGGCAAGCGAGACAAGGTAAAGCACAGCTGTGCAGCAGAATGGGATGTGAAAAGTCTTGGTAGTGAGTGGCCCGGATCAACCATTCCAGCTCGAGGCTTGGCCATCTGTGCCGTTCTCCTGCTCTGCCTGAGGTAGTGTGATGTGCTGCTCTTCTCTCGCTGCAATGCGGGCATCAAACTCCCGCGCCTTGCCACCCCCAAAGCCCTACGGCCTACGACTGCCTGCTTTGCCTGCCTGCCTGGCGTCGTCTTGTGTGTCGTCCGGCTCCCCAAGCAGAAGCAGTCGAGGTCGTAGTATGCCAGTATCCGAGATGGATGCTGCGACCGGCTCCGAATCTGCTGTGCTGAGCCCTGCCCATCAGTCGTTTCCTTCCCCACCCGTCCCACACCTGTCAATCGTTTAGGCGCTTCGAGACGGCCGCAGACGAAGCAAGCCAGACGAGTGACTGCCTGGGAGAAAGTCTGCTATGCTAGGTATGCTATGCTACGCTACCTACGCTACAGCTACGTCCTCACCGCGATCACTGGCAGCATCGGTGAAGACAGACATGAAGTGCATTTGCTGTAATGGGAATGTAGACAGACTCGAGCTGACCTGACCTGACCTGGCCTGGGGCCTGGCCTGACTGGGCTACGCTGCGCTGCGACTTTACTTGCGTCTGCAACTGCGCGACTGCGTCTTCTTGCTGGCACTGGTAACCTCTTGGGATCTTTCCTTCTCCTCTCAGTCTGTCCATCTGTCTGGCTTCTGCCCTTGCTGCCGAGTCCTCTGCCTTCTGCTTCTCCTCCTCCTCCTCCTCCTCCTCCACCACCACCACCCCTCGTTCATGGTGTTGTGTGGGCACACACCCCCCTCCCCGCTCCATCTCTCTTTCTGTTCCTCGTCCACCCCCAAAGCTCCATCTTCTCCTCGTCGTCGTCCGCAGCCAGGTGCAGCTTTCAAATCGACCCGCTCCTACCGCTACCCGCACTCAACAGCCCCGGGCGGCTATCGCCTGCGAGTGAACTAGCCCCATCCATGTCCCCGCATGCGACTCTCTCATGGCCCGTGTGCAGTATACAACGGCTTCAAGTACCTCGTGTACCTCCAGCATCGAGGCCCCCCGGTCACTTCTCAACCCACCCCGGCGATGGTCCCGCTGCCTACTGTGCCTTTCTCTGCGTCGTCCCAAAGAGTGGGCTGGCTCAACCTGGACCACCTAGCCCAGTCCCCTCAGACGGACCTTCCCTGCAGAGAGTCCAAACCTTTTGATCGGCCATTGCTGTCCACTTCTCTCGTCATTAATAGGCCGCGACCTTCTTCCTGCCATCGCGAGGCTCTCCTCCTCCATTACCTATCTTACATTTCAGACACGCCCCGGTCCAGAAAGGCTGACTCGAGTTGCTTTATCAACTACTTCTTAACCTGCCTTCCCCCCCTCTCTGAACCACAATACATCACATACACAACAACGCACATGCGCCTTCGAGGAGTGGACCGACATCACACCAGCCCTCGAGACGTCTCTCTACAACACATTCAAACTTAGCAATCATCACCTACCATTGCTGTGGCAACTTGTCTCCAGATATTCACCTCGCCATGTCAGACCAACACTACATTGACCATCAACAAGACGGATATAGAGACCCCGTTTCCCAAAGGTGTTCTCCGGTGCCCCAGGCCCTCACAAACAACTACCCAGACCTTAACAACAGCCCTCCCTTCAACGTAAGTCGCCATCACCTGCGTCACATCTATCATTGGAAGTGGCGTGCCCAACCCAGAGAATCTAATCGGTCAAAGGTTACTCAAAACGAGCCACATCATCTCTTGACCCCGCCATCCGGCATCAGCTCGCCGCCTTCCATCCATCAAAACGTCAAGATCATGCACCACCCCGCCACAACAGCAACCATGTATCACTCCAGTCCGCCCGCAAACAACAGGATGTGCTGGACCAACCATTACGATCTAAGTGCTCAGCACAGCCAAGCTGCTTCTCCGATGCCCATGAACATGCACCCAGAGGGCCATTTTGAACAGAACTACCTTCATGCCGAGCCGCAGATCAAAGATGAAATCCCCGAGCCTCCTCCAGGGTACCCCGATTTCGGCTCTTTTGGTGTTTCCGGACAGCCAGACTCGGATCATGGCTCTTTGTCTCCTCAGCTGCAATCGAACTTCTACCCCATTCCCCAAGACGGCGTTATGTTCGAGTCGCATCCACTGATGAACGGAGCGGACTTGACCATGCCCCACCAGTCTCCCTACCCCTCTGCCCACCAATTTCCCATCAACGCACAGCACACCGCATACCCATCACAACACAATTTCCAAGACAGAGACGACATAATGAGACGACCGAGCTACGGTGGGCTTCCTTACCCCAGCCAACAGATAGAGCGCCCAGTTGCTAGCCCTCGGCTGCAACCGAGACAGCAAACTCAAACACAAACGCCAATGCCAACAGAAAGGGAAGAAGATCCACAAACAAAACCCCGTGTAAGGAGGCTGGCTCGTATGAGGAATCGTGACGACGAAGACGACGCCCCTAAGCCCGTAGTACAACTACCCAACCAGTCGCCTTCAAGCTCGTCTGTAGAGGACGAGCCAGCCACGCTCATTTTCAAACCCAGCTGCCCCGACCAAGAACGGTGGCTCTTTCAGAGACGTGCTGAACTGGAGGATCAAAAGGGAACTGGCATCTGGGCAACGATCACAGCCGAATACAACCAGAAGTACAATGCGACTTCTGATATCCCGCGTCTGCAGATGGTTTGCAGCAGAGGAAGGGCTCCGTACCTCGCATGGCACCCGACAGATGTGAGTTACCAAGACCTTTACGATTCCTGCAAACACTTTCTAACCTAGAACAGGACGACAAGCTTCGACGAGCCATCCTCTTTGACGAGCAGCAGCAGATGCAGAGGGTTTTCGCCAAGTTCAAGGAACTCGGTGGCGGCGCATACGCCCACTGGGGCCGTAACGATCTCGAGCTTCGCATGGTGGAGCTAGGCTGGGCAGACGTCCACGTTGAACCCTCGCCGTTGGACTCCAGCGTCAGCGTCCGGAGGCGCAGGAAGCTCAACCGCCGCCAGTCTACGGCCCACGATGCACAGTCTAGGTTGAACATGACCGAAGAGGACCAGGCGCAAGTGATGGAAGAGATCGTCGCACACAGGGGCATCAAGCCTGAGGATGAGGATGCTGAGGTGACCCTCCACGAGATGCAGAGAATGCGTCTCCAGCACCCCAAGAACGCCCGTGTGACGAAGCAAGAGACACAGGAGAGCCTCATCGCAAGCGGTGGACGTGTGGCAAAGATCGCAAAGTCTTCAGCGGCAAAGGCCAAAAGCAGGAGTCGCGTGCAGAGATCAAAAGCTGCATAAACATGCCCACGACAACATCTATACAACCGTTCAACACCCAACACTTGCTGGCCATGTTTTCATTCTACTTCTCAGCCACCTGTCATTGATTTTGGAGTTCAATGCTTTTCTCGGAACCAAAGCTGTCGGAACGAACGCATAGATTGTCGAAATGTTTTCCTTTTTCTCCGTAAAGATAGAGATACCATCACTCATTTTTCTTGTTGGGTACACGGTATACCCGGTTGGAATAGCGGCAAGGGGTGGGTCGGTTGATTTTCAGTTGGACATGCATATCATCATTTTACACACCTTACGCTTCTTGTACATACTTTTATTCCCAAGATTTTGGACGCATGCATCATCACACGATCAATACCACGGTCTCTTGGACCACCTGGACTCTGTACCTCTCGATGGACCGCTTTCTATGTGATATCATCGCGATGGACTGTTGTCCTGCCTATTTCGTCATCCTGCCTATTGATAAACACAGAAAACAACAATAAGTTGGCCAGGGCAAGTCTCGCAGGGATACCAAGGAGAGGGGAACAGACTCATCAAAATTAGGCACGGTAGGCAGAGCAGGCAGGAGAGCAGGCAGAGATCCCAGGTTTTCGGGACCAAGGCAACATTCCCCCTCGAATGATCAAACCATCGTCGCAGTCGCCGACAACACGAGAATGTCACAGTGACAGCGGCTACGTACGCATCAAGAGTCTCGAGGCCTCAGGACCGGGCGGGGGATGGGATGCCGTCAAACAAAGGCAAGCTCGTCCGTTGACGACGTCAAGTCGTAGGACATTGCTGCGCCGTTGCTGCCTTTTGGCCATTCACCTCCAATCTCCCACGCCCAACAGCAACCTCCTCCACCACCAACATGCCGTAGTCTGGTAAGGTAGTGGTGGTGCTTCCCCATGCTCCCTCCTACGCCTCTTCAACGGGCGCCCCGTCTGTGCCCCCCGATGCCGAGGACCCAACGACCAGGAAAGCAGAGAAAACCTGCGGCTGTGGCTTTTCCAACCACCCACACACCTTTTCTCCCCCCCCCCCCCCCCCCCCCCCCCCCCCCCCCCCCCCCCCCCCCCCCCNCCCCCCCCCCCCCCTTTTCCCCCCCCCCCCCCCTCCTCCTCCTCCTCCAGGCTCCTCCTCTTCCTCACAAATTTTGTGATGAACCCAACCCCCGACCGACGGATGGATACACTCACCACCTCATACGACATCCACAGCCAGACCGTGTCCGCGGCCCTTCTGGACCGGATGCGACAGTGCTGGTATTCCGCAGGGTAGCCCCCCTCCTAGGGAAGGGGGTCCTCCTTCCCCCCCAGCCAGCGATCGAGGTTTTTTTATTCATCCTTTCGAATTAAGTAGCGGCGCCGCCCATCTGCTAGTGTAGTCCATGCCTGCTCCAATGGCATTGCTGCCCTGCGGCTGGCCCGCCGGCAGCAGCAGCCCCGTTTACATGAACAGTGGGTTTCTTGGGGGCAGGAAGAGCGCGCGGACCGGGTGGCCGCGGGCAGGGTACAAGGCCCTTTCGGCTCGGGTCATGGGAAGGGAAGGAGGCAGGAGGAGGGAAGAACAAAGTGCGAGCGAGTGGACTCTCTGGAGCCTCTGGAGGAGGCATTCCGCATCCATTATCACGATGGAGCCTGGAGAGAGCAAAATAGACGAGCAATTGAGCAGCAGTCAAGGTTCTGAAGTAAGGTAACAGGGGGTGGGATAGGGATACACACATACTGCGTACAAAGACAGCAGATACAGACACACAGGGTCACATCTGTAGCGGCGACAAACGGCGACGAAGTTGAACCTGACAGGGCCAGACAGGGCAAGGCAAGAGACCAGCAAGGGGCTACTCGCACGGGGCAAGATGGACGACGAAAGGACCGCGCATGAACAGGGAGCGGCGCGCACCAGCCTAGCACGCCTAGCACACGCCAAGCTAAGGTAGCCAGACAAGGTGAGGGGACCCTGGAACGGTGCTGGTCACCGGCCGACCTGTGCCTTTGGACGCTGTGTGTGTGTGTGGTTTTTTTTTTTTTTTTTCCCCGGGGGGNTTTTTTTTTTTTTTTCTCCCCGGGGCGTCCCCGTGTTGCCCGTGTCCGCCAACCCCTGACGATACCCTCGATACCCTGGAAGAAACTGAACGGTGTCAGTGGATAGGGAAAAGGCAGACAACGGTGGGTACTCCAGCCGACGGCCCCACTGAGCGGCTTCCGCGCACTGTGATTGTCCCGCCAAGACAACTTCTCGGCTTCCCGGGGGTTGCCTCGCTCACGTGAAGTGGGAAGGCTGTGAGGAATACCGGGGCTTGATTGACGAGATAGCCTGGATAGCATGCTGTCAACAAGATGAGATGAAGAGATATGGAGGGACGGGAAGGATCCCGTATCTTACACAAACTGGCTTGTCAAACATGATCCCATGTACCTCGCGGGCTTGGTGACGATGCCGCCGAAGACTTATTACTGTGAGTCGGTCTTCGAATATGCATACGTCCCGTACCGGCTGGACGAGCAACGGCAAGGCAGGTAGCGAGTATTCGTATTAGATAGTAGCGTCAGAGGCGCGGTGATGATAGCAGCGACGAGCTTCCGCTGAAGACATGATTCGAGACAGAGGGAGTGTGTGTGCGTGGCACACAAACACACACACACGCACACACACACAAATGGTATGGGGTTTGCCCGTACTCCAGGTTCGTGGGTGCTTCCTTCGGCCGGTATCATCGTCCTTCCCCCGGACCAGATATCGGGCGGTTCAGTCTCCAGTCTTTGCTCCCCTTCCCATCCATTCTCGTCGAATCGAAACCTGTTGCGCGCCAAGGTACGCATTATCTCACAATTTCAATCGCATTCACGTCCCATCCCATGGCCTCATCTGATGGTGCGAGAGGGTCCAGAAGGGTCAAGACGGCCGGAGAAGGTCGGCTCCCTGAGGATCCTGACGAGGTGATGCCAGGGCAAGAGGGATTGGCGGCCGGATCGGAGAGAAACTCCTCTTTCCCCCCTCCTGTGCCTCCCTCAGGCCTTGACCGGTCGTGATGGGGAACGTATTTCCTGGCCTGTGATTGACTCTCGTCTTCCCAGGTTCCGGGAAAGGACCTCAGTGTGAAGCCAAACGACCAGGGGCCCTGAACAGGTGACGGAGTGATGAACACCCCTGTTTGCAAATCAAACCTTCGGAGGCTCGGTGTGAATCGCGGGCACTGGTACGTGCGCATTCCCGACGCCCCCTCAAGAGAGGCCCCGGCAAACCTGGTCGAAGGCGGGTGAGGAACGGTTGTTCCGCACTGTCCCCTGTTTGCGCCAGTTGTGGAGTCGTACGCTTTTCTTGCGCCAGTCTGCTCTCTTCTGCAGAGACACTTCATCAACTGTCCCAGGAACTCGGTAAATTGCTGTGGGCAAAATCAAATAGCAATGCCTGATTTTGTCCACTTCTACGACCCTGAACCTGGTTCAGTCCTCTCGAGGTTGAGGGGAGCCGCTGCTGCCTCCTTCCCATGTCCATTGACGGGTCCGTACGGGTGCAAACCGGCAACGCGAAATGCTCCCCTGTTGATTTGCTGCTTCTTTCCCGTGCGTGAGATTCTTGTCTTTCTCGGGTGGTCTCCGCCGGTTCTTGCTTCTCAGATTTTCCTTGACGAAACTGTTGCCGAGAGATTCACCTGGGGAGACGAGATGGGGAACGACTGATTCCCCGCTTATTTGGCCATGGGGTAGCCGATGGGCGTTGATCAATTGGGGAGCCATTGGGCTGAGCTGCCATCCGCGAAGCGATGTAGCCCTCTGTTGCAACTTGCCGTGCCTAGACCGGCGAACCTTGTCTGGTGCACACGTCAACATCGTCTGGCCCATTTGCTTTTCTGCCGATCTTTCTGCGTCTTTGTTTGTCCCGTCACGCAATCTGCTCTTGTCCTGTCCAAAAAAGGCATTGACTTCCAGATTGCTGCCCGCAACTGGACAAAATGGTCGTCCGGGTTCATGTTTGGGGTATTTGAAATCTCAGCGCCAGGTTGCTCGTTTGTGTGAAGTCGATTGGTCCTGCGCCGCTCTGAACCGCCCTTCAACTTCCAACCGTCCAACAGCAAGACTCGCGAAGCGCGAAGCGCGTGTGCCAGCGTGAAAGAAAATCATGCCATCCATCACGTCTGTCATGCATGGGACCCGGAGCAAGCTGCCAGATCATCCCTAGACTAGCGAAGAACGGGCGAAGAAGTGGCCGGGAATTCTCATTTGTAGCGGCTAAGCCACGACTGATGCGGTTTCCAGCCAATTGCAAAGCATACCAGTCTGTCGGGACACTCTCTTGTCGAATCAAAGCCGCAGAATGGAACCGCCTGCCGGGTTGAACCTTTCCCTTGCATTGGGCTTGCAGAATCCCATACAGGAGCCAGTCGAATCGACTCGAACGGTCGTAACAGGGAGGTCGTCCTTCCCCTCTCTGCTTTTCCACCAGTAGGCGTCTTCTGCTCACAGTTCACTGGTGGAGTGGCCTACGCCTTGCGGGCAGAAAGCTCTGCTTGCTGAAGTCTGCAGGCCCTCCGTTTGATTATTGCTCTCTTGCAGCCTTCGATCCAGAGTATCGGGACTAAAGTCGGTGAAGGTACGTAGTTTGCGTACTGCTGTTTACAGCCAGGCGTCCACGTCGCTGCTGCTCTCCTGCCTGATTTGAGCATCCGAAACGCACCGGAATTGACTGATAACTGGCTTGCCTTCCTGCGCCTGGTATAGTACCCAGGATCCAAGGCATTGCGCCCGTTTTGCGATTTTGACCTGCGGTAAAACGGCCGGCGTATGGACTCCTTCGAATATATCCTTTCACTCCTACCTGATGAGCCTGGGACTATCATCGAGTCGAGATTAATGGCTTTGCGAAGAGCATACAAGCAGTATACCAAAAATAAAGCCTTGGGATGTGAGGCTGAGCTTCTCTCCGTCCTAGCTCAAGACAAACATGCAGCAGAATGCCCTCGATGCTCCGGACTCGGGATGGCAGTGCGGACCCTGGACTGCGGGCGT